GATCTTTCACCACCTGGCAATGGATCATACACTGTATGCTGTGGTCTCTGCTCCAGGGAGTTAGCTGTTCCGGGGCTCAGAGCTTAAGCAGCCTCTGTGCCCCACGGCTGCCGTGGGACAGCAGTCAGCAGAGCTGGGTTTCCGCTTCAGGTGTCGTGATGCTGCAGCCGAGGGGTCAGCGTGCTGAGGCCTTCATCCCTTCCCCTTGGGCATGTCCAGCTTGGCAGCTTCATCCAGGTGTGGGGTCGGAGGAGGAGACCATCTGCTAGCAAGGTGGGTCCCAGGAGCAGCATCTTTGCTGGCTAGTGGACGCGTCAAGTCCCTGAGGTCAGCTCACCCTGGGGGTCGTGATTCAGAGGCCGGGATCCCCGGAGGCCGTCACTGGGACCGCCAGCGGTGTTCACCGTAGTGGGATTTGCATTTCTCATCAGGAGTGAGTGAGGTTGAGTATCTTTGGATATGTCCTTTGTCCCTATTTCTGAGGAGTGGTTTTTGTTTTTGTATTGATACTTCAGGGCTCTTTACATTTTAAGGAAATTGGCCTTTCCATTGTGATACGGATCGTAAATATGTTTCCCATTTTTCCATTTATCTTTTGACGTTGGTTTTGGTGGTTTTTTGCTGTGTGTGTACTTTTTTCTGTATTTAGATTAACACACTATCTTTCAAGGCTCCGAGCCTGCGTCCTCCTCAGTGACAGCAGCTGCCCCTCATGCAGCTGCCCTGCCCCCCAGGCCCCTGCAGGCCACACAGGCCACAGGTCAGAGGGCGCCTCTCAGGCAGGAGGAAGCCCCACTGTGTCGTGCGTCTGCGCTCTGCATTGCGTGCAGTGAGAGTTCAGGCTGGCCGTCCGTGGACACTGAGCTGGTCTGCAGAGGGATCAGAAGCCCCGGGCCCCGAGTGTGGGTGGGCGTAAGGGGAGGGAGGGTGGATCCTGCAGGGGTTACGCCTTAGCAAAGATGCAGGGTGGCCTGAGAGGCTGGGAGGGCAAGTGGGCGGCTAGAGGGCAGAGGCGAGGGGTGAGAGCTGAGGGAAGAAGCTGAGGCTGGACTGGGTGACACATGGGTGAGGTCAGCCTGTCCATCACCTCCTGCCCCAGGGTTGGGGGGCAGCTGAGCACACAGCACTGGCTGTGTTGAGCACTCACGTGCGCTCACAGCCAGGGAGGGCCTTCAGGGCAGCGCTGGGCGTAGGGTGAGCCGGCTGGGGTGGGCGCCCAAGCCTGCTGCCCGCTGCCCCCTGGATATGAAGGGCTGCTTACCCTCAGGCATGGAGTGGAGGCCACTCAGGGCCTCTGCTCCCATGCCACAGCCACGCACGGCCTTGCACCCCATTGACCCTGGACGCCCTGATACCAGCCTAGACCGGGTGCTGACCGGGACCTCCAGGGAGTGGGCTCTTGACGGGATGCAGAACTTACAGGGACCCCTTGGTGGCCAGTAAAGGCGATTGAGGGGCCGGTGTGGGTGTGCCTCCCCCCGGGGCGAGTCCATGTTCGCGGGTACCTGCGGCAGTGCTGACGCCAGGGGCTCCTCTTGCTGCCTTGGAACTGAACCGGAGCTGCGGGAGGGCCGCTCGGCCCAGCGCCGGCCTCGGGCGAGGGGGATTGGGGGGTGGCTGTCCCCCTGAGAAGTGGAAGGACGAGGGTCCCGGCAGGCCTGTGGCCTTAGTGCAGGCAGACACATCTGTCGCCCTGTGTGTTTGGAGTGTCCGGAAGGCGGGGTTCCCAGAGTTCCCTCCCTAAACGAGACGGCCCTTAGGCCGTGGCCCAGGCGTCTAAAAGGCACAGAGCCGGGCGGCTGGTGCTGAGGCGCTGCCTGGAGGTTAGGCGCCTGTGCTGACCGCTGGGTGGCTCGGGTCCTGCACCAGGGACATCCGGTCAGGACGGGAGGGTGGTGACCTCTGCCGAGCACTGCCGTGACACCCACGAAGTGCACAGACCCCACTGGGCCCACCCAGTTGATCTCGGGGGCTCCCAGGAGCCCAGGTTTGGGGGTCACCCCTTCTGGTCTGTGGCATCTGACTCAGGACAGGGAGGCCGCCCTCTGTGGGTGGAATGTGCCAGAGGCCCAGGGTTGGCTCCCCGCCCCGTATTGAGGCTGCCCTCCTTGGTCACTGTGCCTCCCAAGGCCCACGGGCAGCCGGGCTGCGAGGGTCCCAGCAGGTCTGCGAGGGCCCCCTTCCCAGGAGAGCAGGGTGTGTACCTGCGTCGTGGCTCAGCTGGTGGACGGCGCAGTCCGGGGGAAGTTTCTGGCGTCAGCTTAAAGCTCTCAGTGGTCCAGGGACCCCGGAGGCTCTTGAGGGTTCTCTTCAGTGGAGGTGTCTCTGGGGCCCGATGGGGGTGCCTGCCGGCTCTAATGGAGCCTCTTGTCGGAGGGGCCCCTTCAAGGCAGGCTGCTCGGCAAGTATGGCCTAAATGGGCAGGAGTAAACTTTGCACGTGAAGACGGTCACCTCCAGAATCCACAAAGCCCGCACAGGTGCTGGGCTGTGTTCGCACGTCAGGATGAGCTGCTCCCGGTGAGCAGGGGGTCTTAGGGGTCTGAGCAAGGGGAGGCTCGCTCTGCGAGGGTGGTGGCAGCCCATCCTCTTTGGGGGGGCTCCTCTGTGAGTGTTCGGGTGTCTCAGGGAAGGTGTCCCATGAGTCTGTAGAGGGGCGGCCATCGTGTAGCACCAGCCCCGCGGAAGGTGCAGCAAAGGCCCGACCTGCAGAGAGCCTGCGGCTGCAGGGCCGCCTGGGAGAAGCGAAGGTCAACACGCCGAGGGTGCTGAAGTGGGTGCTGAGCGGAGCGTGCTAGCCAGATCCGCAGGGCACAGCGTTTACCGGCTGCTGCCTGGGTGCGGTCAGTGTCCCAGCGAGACCAGATGTTGGGTGTGGGGCCCACAGCACGGCTGCGGTCACCACTACGAGGCAGTTTGTCTCTGCCAGGTTTAAGAACGGAGCTGGGCGGTCCAGTGGAGAGCAGCGGGTACCCCCTTCACTCAGTAGGCCTCACGAGACCAGGTTCAACCCCGAGGGCCAGTTTCAACGTGGTGGCCTGCGTTGGGCCGCAGTAACAATTTTAACCGGGGAGGGGGGTGCCACGGGGTCCCCCTACGTCAGCCAATTTGTAAGTCAGGCTGGCAGCAGGGGTGCCTGATTCAGTCCGTTCACAGTCGTTCCGGCCTCGGGGAGGTGGTGACCCCGGGGCGGCTCGCGCACAAGCCAGCCAGCGGGGATCCGTCCCTGGCGGCCTTCACCGTGTCGGGAGCTGTTCAGTCAGCAGAAAGTGGCTGGTCAGGCTGCCGGGCGTGCGCGGTCAGGGGCGGGCCATCCTGTTTGTGACGCCAGCTGCAGTGACGGCCTTCTCTTGAGGGACCTGCATCTGGACAGGTGAGCTCAGAGTTCATCAGCCCCACACACCAGGCCCGGGGGAGGATGTGCCTCCCACGTGGGGCCCTCAGGGCTGCGCTCAGGAGCGCCAGCTGCCAGAGGCTGTGCTGGCGGGCGTTGTAGGAACACGTACCGGTTCCCGTGGGGCTGTGACTGACTTGTTTGCGTTCCGCGGGCTCCTCGGGGGTCGGGGCGGCGGCAGTGGGGCTTTACCAGGTGTCCAGGCAGCACATCATAGGAATAATGTGGGCCCTACACGGCTCAACTCGTGGAAGGCTGATGGGTCTCTTTCTGTCTGCTTCTACAATGCTGCTTGTTCGTGTGTCCACACAGCACACACAGCGCTGTGCCGGACGCCGCGGTGGACGGGGTGCCGGGCCTGCCCTTGGCCGTCACAGCCGAGCACGGAGCGACAGGGGCATGAGTCGGGGTTAGGCAGTGGCAAGAGCTACGGGGAGACGAAGGGGCAGCGCTGGGTGATGGCTGGAGCAGCCTTGAGGGGGATGCCGGGAAGGCGTCCCTGAGGAGGGGGCTCTGGGCTGAGGCCTGTGTGGCGAGGGGGCTGGCCGGCCGGGGCGGGGGCACTCGGTCCCACATGGTCACCGGCAGGTGCGTTCTGCCGGCCGAGTTGGAAGCAAAAATGAAGACGACCTTTCCTGTTGCTGAGAACGTAACTGCCTTGACCTCTGGGACCTCAACAGGATGGGGGGATTCAGGCCTTTAAGAGTGACCGTTTCACTCAGAACCAGCCCAGGCTCAAGGTGACCCGTGAGAGGGCGGGAGGCCGTTGGGAAGGTGTGCTCCTGGGAAAAAACCTGTTCCCACCCAGGACCCCGAGACGGACCTGAGGCCCGGCCGTGCGCCCGCCCTCCGCGGCCCTTCCTAACTGTCCCGCAAGTTGAGGGGTTGGGGAGGTTCTGATGCCGCAGCTCTCGGTGCGCTTCTGGAGCGCCTGGTGGTTCTGAGCAGCGTGAGCTGAGACCCCTTTGGTGGGGCGGCGGGAGGAGGTCACCCAGAGCCCTCTGGCACCTGACCCAGATTCCTCCCGAGGCCCAGCACAGCCCCTGAATGCAGCTCGGGCCCTGGGAGACTTCCCACTGTGCTGCTGAGCTCCTGTGAAAGTCACATTCCCGACCTCCTCGACTGTGAGCCAGTGAGCTGTGTTGACATATTCTGTTCTCAGCTTGCATATGGGAAAGTACTCTTCCACACGTGATGGCATCTTTTATTTGTTTTTGGTGACAGTTTATTTTTTGATGGTTATAAAAGCAAATAATCACAATAGATATATAGAAAGTTATGAAATAAAGGTCACTTAGGATCCCACCACCTAAAAGTACCCACTTTTAGCATTTTGGTATATAACCTACTAAATTGTTCACTGCTTGTGTGTGTGTGTGTACTTGTTTCTCATTATTTTTTAAACAAAAATGAAAAACAGGGGCTTCCCTGGTGGCGCAGCGGTTGAGAGTCCTCCTGCCGATGCAGGGGACACGGGTTCGTGCCCCGGTCCGGGAGGATCCCACGTGCCGCGGTGCGGCTGGGCCCGTGAGCCATGGCCTCTGAGCCTGCGCGTCCGGAGCCTGTGCTCCACAATGGGAGAGGCCACAACAGTGAGAGGCCCGCGTACCGCAAAAAAAAAAAAAAAATGAGAAACATTTTTGTAATGCTTTATAACCTGCTTAATTAGGGATCTTTCCCATATGTAATCATGCAAGTGGTTGTCTATTTCCACATCTTCTGTCCTGATGAGAGTGGTTCAGGGACCCACTGTGTATGATTTTATGTTGTATTATGACATTCGATCGCATTTAAAACTATAAAGAGATCACAGGAGGTGCTGAAGCCAGGAGAAGGAAATCGCTAGTTGGGGGGCCTGTCCAGATGTGGGCCTGGGGACTGGGGCAGCCAGTGTCCAGAGTGGGCCCGCTGAGAGGGGTCTGTCTTAAACGAGCTAGCAGCCTTAGACGCGTCAACTTCTGCCACACTTTCCTTAGAAATGTGCTGTTTCTCTTAGCCTCCTGCTGGTTCAGACTCCTGTGTGAACAAACGGACCCTCATCTCAGAGGCGGGCAGCAGCGGGGGCAGTGGGCACTGGAGTCGGGGATCGAGGTCCTGGCCCCGCCTGTGAGCCTGACTCGGGGGTGGTCATGGGCAAACCCTCGCGGGGCCGTCAGCTTCTCATTTGCAAAACCGGGACCTTTGCTTCCTGGTGCGTGGCTCGGGGGTGCCTTGAGAGTCTGGTGATGGACGGAATGTGACGTGTGTGCACGTGAAAGGGCACGGGTGGTCAGCTGTGGCCTGAAAGCTCAGGGAGAGTCTGGGCTGCGCAGGGAGCTTAGGAGTTGCTGCATTATCTGAGAAGGTCCCCTTTGCTCCTGCTGTGCAGCAAACCGCGCCTGACTCTGTGGCTGGTGGGAAGCCGGTTGTCAGTTTGATCTCAGATCTTTCGTTTGGACGCCACTCAGCGAGCAGCTGGTGGGACACACAGTCCAGGACCATCCCCTCCTGTGACAGGACGGCTGCTGCTGGCTGCCCACGGGGCCGCAGCCAGAACACACCCGAGCTTCTCCTCTGCGGGGTGGCGGGGTCCCGAGCGCCAGCATCTCCGGAGGTGGGCAGTGGAAGCCGTCAGGACCCCAGGATCGGGGCCCAGAACTGGACAGGGGCAGCGTCTCCTGCGCTCACACACAAGGGGCCGACAGACCCCAGCCCTCGCTGGGAAGTGGGGCTCCTTCTGTCTGGCTCCTGGGAGGGGCTTCATGAGAAAGTGAAGGGGACGAGGAAGGATGCAGTGAAACATTGAGGGCGCGAGGGAAACGGCCGTCAGGGTCTGGCTGGAGTTGGCGAGGAGGGAATCGGGCTTGGCCAGCTCAGTGGGATCTAGGGTGGTGAGGGCTGGGCTCCAGGCTGAGGGCTGGGCTTGAGCGTGGGGTGGACTTTCCGAAGGAGGGGAACCGGCTGAGGTGCACAGCAGGCGTGAGCGAGCATCCAGCCCACAGCTTTGGGCTCCTGCTGGCTCTGGCCTTGACCCTGCCCAGCCCGCCCTCAGGCCTGGACACTGTCCCCGGCACCTGTGGGATGCACAGTGGACACACTCATATATTTCACGTAGAGACCCCCTTCTCCTCGGGGTCGGGACGGCAGCTCAAGGCTGGTCTAACCTCTGTCGGCACGAGCCTGGGCCCCTAAGAAGCACCTTACAAGTCTCTGTCCTTTGAGAGACAGCAGGGCTGCGTTCCTTCTGTGAACACAGCCTCTTCCTGTGGCTGTGAGCCCCTCAACACCTAGGTCGAGTGGCCGCAGGGCACGGCTTCTTTCTTGGGGGCCTGCAGGCCTCTCGACCTTGAGGGGTGACAGTCCTCAGGGGCTCAGACCTGGCCCGAGGAGCAGGTGCTTCAGGCTGAGATGTCCCCAGGCCCCGTGCGGCCTCACCAAGGCCGGGCCTCACGTGGCTCCGGCTCTCTGGTCCAGCCCGAGTCAGCGTGGGCCGGACAGCTGGACGCTGTCAAGGTCGCTCCAGGGGACAGGGAGCCTCCTCGTGGGAGGCCAGCCGAGGGAGGTCCCACCGGACACGGCAGCCACTCTCGTAGGAGAACCTGATCTTCGGGGAGTGGACAGCAGGAGTGGCGGAGCCCTGAGCGAGGCTGAGTCACCCGGCCTTTGTTCCTCACCGTTGGCTCTGGCCCTCGGCCGAGGGGCAGTGGAGACCGTCCACAGCACGGGGCACCTGGCAGCTCTGCCCGGGTGGACTCCTTAGGAAACGCATCCTGGTGTGGGCGGAGGCCGGTGTTGGGGGCGCCCAGGCTTGGACATCCAGGGAATGCGTCACCGGCCTGACCATGGTGGTCACCCAGCTGGACCTGGAGCTCTGCTTTCAGGGCACAAAGCTGCGAGGCTTCCGCTGTGAGTTCACCCGCTGCCCCCGCGGCGTCCTCCCCGAGACCACCTTCACCATCGTGGGCCAGGTTGTGGTGCCCGTTCTGCTGTCTGGCCTGGGCATGGTGATGGCTGGCCTGCTGATGAACACCGTCCAAGTGCGTATGGCGAGGCGGGGGGCAGCATGGGCCCCGGGGTGGGGGACCAGGCATCACACACAGGACAGGCCCCTGGGTCGGGCAGGGGACGGGGCTCGGGGGGCTCGCAGGAGTGTCCTCCTGGAACCTCAGTGTCTGAGAGTCACAGAGGCTTCTGACGACCCTCCACCGTCAGCCTGCATGAGACTCCTCAGCCTAGGAGCTCTAACTGTTCTCCTTCCAGCAAACGCAGACCCATTAGGCAGGGCCTGGGGGACCTTGAGTCCTGCTCCTACGGTCTCTCCCCACCCGAGGGGCTCAGGCATCCTGCCTCAGCCTCTCCACCTACAAGCCGGGCAACGTTGTGAGGTTGGTGTGCTGGCCCGAGCGAGGGTGCCGGGCACCGCTTCTCCAGCCCCAGAATCTCCGGAGGGGGGTCTCAGCTGGAGGACGGGGTCCTGAGCGCGGCGGGGGTCCAGGCGCACAAGGGGATGCAGATGCGGGGGTCTCTATCAGGAGAGGTGTTTGCTGGGAGACCCAAGGGGTCTGTTTATGCCCTGGGTCAGCTCTGGGAGCCGTGTTTGGGTCACTTACGGAGTTAGTGTGTTCTCGATCCGCTGGGGCCTGTATGTGAGCATGCGGGGGGAGGGGCGGTCACCTCTCACATCCCGCCGTGCCCCTGCCTGTGAGCTGGAGGGGGCGGCCGACACCTACCCGGGTACCCGGCTCTGAACGAGGTTCTTGGGGCGGCGTCTGGCCGCTCTGCCCAGTGGACAGGGTACTTCTTCACGTGCTGCCAGCTTGAGACCCGGATTCCTGTCTGCTGCTTCCCCTGGAGTTGCCCCAGGGTCTGTCACCCTCCCTGGGCCTTGCGGACACTGGGAGAGTCCACCCTGAATCTCCCTCCTTGACCTTCCCCAGCACCTTGCGTGGAGCATGGCCTTGTGTCCCCGACCTGCCCGCCCATGACCCTTTCTATGGGGCCTCGGGGCCGAGAACAGGCGGCCGAGAGTTCAACAGAGTCCAGGAGGTTTGGTGGGGCCCTGGGGGAGAGGGGGTCATGCCTGACCATCAGCAGAGGTGCCCTGGGGCCGGGTCTGGAGGGTGTCCAGCTGGTGAGTGCAGCGCCCTTCCTGACCGCATGCGGGTTCCGTCTGGGAGGTGGGCCCAGAGCAGATGTGGGCAGGCTGTCTGCAGGTTTGGCCTTGAGCCGTCAGCTTCGGGAGGGCCAGCGACTGGGAGGATGGGACAGCTCTGTACGTCACAGCCCTTTCCTCATCCCCACTTTGCAGACACGGTGCGTGAGGGTCAAGGGCCCTCTGTTTACTGGCTTCCGGTGCTCACCACCTCGCTGCTTACCCCTCCCAGCAGTGCAGGAAGCAGCCTTGAGGCTCCCAGAGGGAAGCCCACATGGCAGGGGGCTCCTGGCTCCAGTGGTACCCAGGCTGGTACCTGACCAGAGCCATTCACACCGGGCCTCGGGGCTTCCGAGCCCGCAGTGAGGTAGACCACCTGGCCTGACAGCCGCGCCTTGTGGATGGTCCCCGGTGCGGCTCTGTGCCTGGCTGGGTGCAGGTTTCACCTACGCTCTTTGGGGCCGGGAGTCTCTGATTCTGGGCCTGGGGATTGAGGCCAGTAAGTGGCCAGAGTATCAGTTTCGTGTCTTCAAAAACTTTTTTTTCAGTTACACAAGTAAGTGTAAGTATTTCTTTTTATGGAACAAGCATCGCAGCGAGGTTAAGCCCTCTTTGACCTCGGCCTCAGTCGCCGTAGCTCCCTTACTATCGAGTCGTGGTGTCATTCCAGACCTTTTTGGGGTTTACATGCACACGTGGGCACCAGGGACCGTGAAAGCACATGTGATTACTCTTCCCGGAATAGGACTGAACCAGGCAGGCTGGCTGCTCGAAGCAGCCGAGAGCCAAGCGCCGGGCAGGTGGACAGAGCCACTTGTCACCCAGTTCCTCCTCTGTTGAGCGAATTTGGTCGAATCCTGAGCGGAAGCTGACCTTCCTGGCTGGCGTGTCTGGTGGCCGTTGGGCCCCCTGCAGACAACGGGCAGGGGGCGGAGGCAGCAAGGGAGGGGCAGGTCGGAGACTCTGCAGACGCTTTGCTGGGCCTCAGAGGTGGCGTTTCCTGGGTGCGTGAGCAACAGTGAACGTCCCAGCGAGAGGGCCCTTGTGCGCAGACCACGGAGGGGGCGAGCGTGTGGGCGGGGGGCGGCCGCCGAGGGTGAAGCGTTGTTCGCTTTGTCCTCGTTCTTTGTTCTAAAACAAACATCACGTTTTGCTTCACTGGCGTCCAGCACAGGCGTGGAGAAAATCGCACAGCCAGTGAGCACGCAGTTTGGTGAGCCATCTGGGATAAAGGGGTGCGTTAACCTGCCAGATGGAGGGCTCGCAGCCCCGCCCACTCCTCATGCCCCGATCTGCACTGCCTTTGTGTTTGCGGAACATGAGGACCTGTGTGCCCAGAACTGGAATTAGTGAAGGGTCGTAAGGGGTGGAGTGACATGTCCTCCCTGGCTGCTGGGGTCTGACATGACCCGGAGGTGCTGCTCAAGGCTGCAGGGGAGAGCTGGGGACTGTAGGCGTGATTGAGAGACCCCCCTCCAAGTGCAAGAGCCAGCGCACGGGGCCCATGCAGCAGGGTCAGCGTGGAGCCTTGGGCGGGGGACCTGTGGGGCGTCCAGGGCTGTCCGCGGCCGGGGGCAGGCGTGAGCTGGGTTGTGGAGCCAGCCGCCGTCAGGGTGCTCTGGGAGTGGGTGACCAAAATCCCGACCCATTCAGGGTCTCCCTGAAGAGGTCTGCAGGTCAGGCAGCTCCAGCCCTGTTCATCCCTTGGACTTGTCCCTGGGGCCCTGGCCTTCTGTTCTCCTGGCACCGTCCACCTTTGCTGGCTTTGTCTCTGAGTGGCCCCTCATGGTCGTCAGACCTGAAGTGTCTAAAGCCCCTTCCCAACCCTCCTCGGCTGTGCCTGTGGCCCAGCCCAGGCGACCCCTCGCAGGAGGACAGGACCACCGCTCGCAGGCTCACCTCCTGCCGCCCCGTGTGGGGTGGGGAGGGGCCTGGGCCTTGGAAGGGAGAGGACTTGGAGAGAAGGGAGAACCGAAGCAGGAGGGGGAGTCAGGGTTAGAGGGCAGGGGGTCACAACCTTGCTGTACTGCTGGCGGAATCAGATCCGAGTGGATGGGGTGAGTCCAGGGAAGTGTTTTTTGTTTTTTTTTGGCTGTGTTGGGTCCTTGTTGCTGTGCACGGGGTTTCTCTAGTTGCAGCGAGCAGGGGCTACTCTAAGTTGTGGTGCGTAGGCTTCTCATTGCAGTGGCTTCTCTTGTTGCCAAGCGTGCGGGCTCAGTAGTTGTGGCTCGTGGGCTCTAGAGCGCAGGCTCAGTAGTTGTGGCTCGTGGGCTCTAGAGCGCAGGCTCAGTAGTTGTGGCTCGTGGGCTCTAGAGCGCAGGCTCAGTAGTTGTGTCTTGTGGGCTCTAGAGCGCAGGCTCAGTAGTTGTGGCGCACAGGCTTAGCTGCTCCGCAGCATGTGGGATCTTCCCAGACCAGGGCTCAAACCCATGTCCGCTGCATTAGCAGGCGGATTCTTAACCACTGCGCCACCAGGGATGCCTCCAGTCCCTTACGTTTGAAAAATGTAAAAGATCGGGAGGGAGATGAGGAGCCCTCAGCGGAGGCCAAGATGGGACAATCAGAGGTCAGCACAGGACAGGACGAGGCCCCGTCAGCCATGTGGAGACATGGGTGTGCCCATCACGTAGCGGGGGAGGGGTTCCCACGGGGAGTCACCCCGCACACATGGGTCTCAGGTGCGGCGGCCAAGTTCAGTGGTGCCGGGGAAGAAGGGGGCGGAGAGAAGGGGGTTTACTTGGGGGGTGGGTACTCGGTCTTGTGTGTTCGTGGGAGGAGGGTGAGAGCGCCAGCCCCTGGGAGGGGGCTTCCCAGGTGGGAGGGGCCTCTGCTGGACAGGATGCAGCACCCCCCTGGCTGGTGACACATTCCTTCTGCACTTTTCGGAGAGGAAGGCTTGTAACTCCGCCAGAGCTGGGACTGGGTTCTCAACTTCCCAGCTTTGTAGAAAAGGTAAAAGAGAGGGAACCGTAACTGTGAGTCTGCGAAACTTCCCAGATCTCAGGACACAAAGGGGTCTTCAGAGGGCCTGGCCCGCCCCTTTGCTTCCAGGCCCTGTGAGATGCATTGTGGGGTGGCTCTTTTGATGACCCTCTGGGCCCCTGGGGTAGGGGGACTCTTGTCTTGGGGACGGGGAACCAGACCCCACGCCACCTGCCTCCCAGCTCACAGAGCAGCAGGGTTTCTAGGACCAGCTTCTGTGGAGGGTCACAGATAGCTCAGGCCCAGGGAGGCGAAAGCAGCTAGTCGGATCAGTTGGGCTGTGAAAAATCAGTTGGGGTAGGGGCCGTCTAACTGCACGTTAAACAGGTAGGACCAGTTTCCCTTCACAAAGAAACGTCTTCACGTTCTCTTGAAGCGTGCTTGTGCTTCCCGTTCCTTCTTTTTACATTTTTATTTATTTACAAGTGATAGAGACACATTCTGTCAGTTTTCACAAATCCAGGGCCCCCATGTGACCTTGGGCCCCACCCATCGGCCTTGGGGCCAGGGAGTCCCTGCCCAGCCCAGATCGTCCTGCCAGCTCGCCCGTGAGAAATCTCACAAGAAATCCCCAGCTTTGAAGTTGGGGGCTCATTCCTGTTTCTACAGACGTGCACGCAGGACAAAGCAGTTCCCCGTCCACGGGCACGGGCCCAGACCCAGTCTCCCAGCAGCCAGGGAAGGAAGGGGTTCCCTGGGCCACTGTTCACGGTTGATCATTACTCTGTTTAGTTTAAAGCCATTTAAGAAACTGGGTAGTTTTTTTCATTTTACAGGGAACGAGGACTTGTCGAAGTATCTCTCGAGCAGTTCCTGAGAGGCGCAGTACGTGTGCTTGGACTGACCCCCAGTTCTTTCCCCGCAGCACTGGCCCGTGTTCACGGAGGTGAAGGACCTGCTGACCTTGGTGCCACCCCTGGTGGGCCTGAAGGGCAACCTGGAGATGACACTGGCCTCACGCCTCTCCACCGCGGTGAGTGGACGTCTGCACATCTGACCTCCAGGTCTCCCCGTGGAGCTTGTGGGTGGGTGGGTTGGACTCTGAAAATCTGATGTCGTTGGGAGTTTTCCTGTCGTGTGGCTCTACCTGGTCACTCCTCCCAGCCATCACCCTGCCTTTCGGCCGGAGGCTGGGCAGCGGATGAGGCCCAGATGTCAGGGGCGCTGTGTCCTTGTGTCCCCTGTTCATGCTGGAGCCTGAGGCTGGTTCCACACATGACCCAGAAGCAGTGGCGAATGTCCTAGAATCCTCGTCACCAGGGTGTCCTCCTCTGGGCTCTCTGTCACAGTTCCCAGCTTTGTGACTCTCCTCACCTTCCCAGGGCATGGAAATCCCTTTCCTTCTGTTATGGGGATGGCCTCCTTTCTCTGTGAAAACGTCCTGATGCTCTGTGTTCTAGACACCGAGAGGTGGGCGATGCAGCTGGGGTGCTGGGGGGTCCCTGGAGCCCGAGGCTGGGGAGAGAGGTGAGGGGTGGCCAGCTGAACAGCAGCCCGCAAAGATGTCCACGTCCTGACCCGTGGAGACTGAACGCTCCCTTACGTGGAGGTGTTTGCACATGATCAAGTTAAGGCCCTTGTGGTAGGAGATAATCCTAGATTGTCCAGGGGGCCCGGTGTTGTCACAAGGGTCCTTACCAAGGGGAGGTGGGGTTGGGGGGAAACGTCAGACACAAGAAGGAAGCAGAGTTGGGGGAGCAGATGCTCGCCACCACCTGCAAAGATGAAGGAAGGGCCGTGAGCCAGGTGTAGCTCTACCTGCTGGAAACGGAAAGAAACAGCTGCCCCCCCTGCATAGACCCTCTGTAGACCCCTGGCCTCCAGAACTGAAAGAGAAGACGTTTGCATCATTTTCAGCCACTGAGTTTGTGGTAATTTGTCACAGCAGAGGCCAGACTGTGCAGTCTTGTAGGCCATTGAAATGTCTTAAGTGGCAGGTGACATGGGGCCCGTGTGTGTGCACATACACGTGTGCACACACGTAAGTGTGATTAAATGGGTTGGTGAGAGGGAAGAAATGTTGATGGTAATCCCTGCCATGGTGGCATTTCAGGTTACATTTTTTTTAATATAAATTAATTTAATTTATTTATTTAGGCTGCGTTGGGTCTTCATTGCGGTGCACGGGCTTCTCATTGCCGTGGCTTCTCTTGTTGTGGAGCACAGGCTCTAGGCACCTGGGCTTCAGTAGTTGTGGCACGCGGGCTCAGTAGTTGTGGCTCGCAGGCTCTAGGGCACAGGCTCAGTAGTTGTGGCACACAGGCTTAGCTGCTCCGCAGCATGTGGGATCTTCCCAAACCAGGGCTTGAACTCGTGTCCCCTGCATTGGCAGGCGGCTTCTTAAGCACTGTGCCTTGAGTTACATTTTTATTCCATGGTGCTTAACTGCATATTAAACACTTCTGTGCTGTGATTGTTTCTTACTGTTATAATGTTTTTTAAATGCATAAAATGTGGAGGGGAAAAAAGAATGATTGGAACAGTTCATCATCACAGCCTGTTTGAGGAGAACAGCCCCATTATCAGTGCAACAGAACCTTTATAAAAGCATTCAGGGGCTTCCCTGGTGGCGCAGTGGTTAAGAGTCCGCCTGCCAATGCAGGGGACATGGGTTCGAGCCCTGGGCCGGGAAGATCCCACATGCCGCAGAGCAACTAAGCCCATGCGCCACAACTACTGAGCCTGCGCTCTAGAGCCCGCAAGCCACAACTACTGAAGTCCACGCGCCTAGAGCCCATGCTCCACAGCAGAGAAGCCACTGCAATGAGAAGCCCACGCACCGCAACGAAGAGAAGCCCCTGCTCGTCGCAACTGGAGAAAGCCCGCGTAGCAATGAAGACCCAACTCAGCCAAAAATAAATAAATTAAATAAATAAATTTATAAAAAACAAAAAAAAGAACCTTTCAACACCCAACATTGTATTAATGTGTAAATCAATACAACAAAAACTCACAAATTTTAAGTGTACGGGTCAGTGACTTTTGACAAATATACACACTGACATAACTACTATCCCAATCAAGATACAGAGCCTGCCACCCACAGTCCATCCCAGAAACCCCTGATCCACTTCCAATCTCTGTAGATTAGTTCTGCCTTCAAGACCCACTCATGATGTAAAAAATATTCTTAGTGCAACTTGAAATAGAAGAATATTTTATTTATATTGTTCTGGATGTTTCAGCTAGTGTAATACGCCAAGAAAAGGAAATAAGACCCTTAAATAAAAAAGAGGGAGAAAAACTTATTATTTGCTATTGATATGCTTATCTTCTTGGAAAACTAAGCAAATCAAGTGGAAAAGTTTTAAAACTAATAATCTCAGTAAAGTGATCTGGTTTCAAAATATCTAGATGAAATTTAAAATAGACATTAACATGTGTAACTGCATACTTCTGCACACACCAAAATTGGTCATTACAAAATACAACTGAATTGTAAAATTGAATTGAAAAAATTGGAGAGAGATATCTTTCAAACAATGAACAAATTTTTTTTAGTTGTACATATATATACATTCTTTTTTTATTTGTATAGTCTTTTCCATCATGGTTTATCATAGGATATTGAATATAGTTCCCTGTGCTGTACAGTAGGACCTTGTTCTTTATCCATCCTATATATAAAAACTTACATCCGCTAACCCCAACCTCCCACTCCACCCGTCCCCCAACCCCTTCCCCCTTGGCAACCAGCAGTCTGTTCCCTGTGAATCTGTTTCTATTTCATAGTTTCGCGTGTCATATTTTAGATTCCACGTATAAGTGATATCATATGGTATTTGTCTTTCTGACTGACTTCACTGGATCTCTAGTTGCATCATGTTGCTGAAAATGGCATTATTTCATTCTTTGTTGTGACTGAGTAATATTCCACTGTATATGTGTACCACATCTTCTTTATTCCTCTATCAATGGAAATATAGGTTGCTTCCATGTCTTGGCTATTGTAAATAGTGCAGCAATGAACATTGGGGTGCATGTATCTTTTTGAATTATAGTTTTGTCCGATATATGCCCAGGAGTGGGATTGCTGGATCATATGGTAGCTCTATTTTTAGTTTTCTGAGGAACCTCCATACTGTTGCCACAGTGGCTACACTGTGTAAATGATTTACATTCCCACCAACAGTGCAAGAGGGTTCCCTTTTCTCCACACTCTCTCCAGCATTTACTGTTTGCAGATTTTTTGATGATGGTCATTCTGACTGGTGTGAGGTGGTACCTCATTGTAGTTTTGATTTGCATTTCTCAAATGATTAGCCATGTTGAGCATCTTTTCATGTGCCTATTGGCCATCTGTATGTCTTCTTTGGAGAAATGTCTATTTAGGTCTTCTGCCCATTTTTTGATTGGGTTGTTTGTTTTCTGTTGTTGTTGAGTTGTATGAGCTGTTTGTATATTTTGGAAATTAAGCCCTTGTTGGTTGCATCATTTGCAAATATTTTCTCCCATTCTGTAGGTTGTCTTTTCGTTTTGTTTATGGTTTCCTTTGCTGTGCAAAAGCTTGTAAGTTTGATTAGGTACTGTGAACCAGTTTTAAAACTTTTTCATCCTGAAGCCTCAAAAAGAAATGTGTGGGACCCATTCAAATAAAATGACAAAACTCCGTAAAGGGAAATAGAAATTTGGAGGGAGAGACGGAGTTTCTGATGGGAAAAATCAATGTTGTAAAGTTACCAGTTCTCCCTGTTTTTGTTTATAAAATTAATGCAGTTAATGCCAGAGAGATTTGGGGGAACATTTGACAGTATTATTTTTATTAGTGTGTGTGTGTGTGTGTGTGTGTGTGTGTGTGTGTCTGTGTGTCTGTGTGTGTCTGTGTGTGTCTGTGTGTGTGTGTGTGGTACGCGGGCCTCTTACTGTTGTGGCCTCTCCCGTTGCGGAGCACAGGCTCCGGACGCGCAGGCTCAGCGGCCATGGCTCACGGGCCTAGCCGCTCCACGGCATGTGGGATCCTCCCGGACTGGGGCACGAACCCGTGTCCCCTGCATCGGCAGGCGGACTCTCAACCACTGCGCCACCAGGGAAGCCCTTGACAGTATTATGTTAAAGTTTATCTGGAGGAATGAATCAGAATAACCATGAAAATATTGGTAGGAAAAAGAGAAAGAAGACTAATGGTGAAATTTGATTTCCAGATTTTACAACATAATATAAAGTTATAGTAAGAAAAATATTTTGCAGCCAGTCTCAATTGATATATCAGAGAACAAAACAGAACATCCAGAAATAAAGTCAGACTTTACAAATACAATCTACTGTATAATAATATGACATTTTAAATCAGTGAAAAGAGGGTGAATTATTAATAAGTGATTCTGAGATAATTGGCTAATTCTTTAGAAGTAATTTTTATTTTATGTCATACCTAAATGTATATTTTGAATACATGGAGTAATTTAAAGTAAAGCATGATACCAGAAAAACACATCAGTATTTTTAGAGTTGGTGACAAGAAATGATTTTTAAGTAGCAGAACAAGTGCAGAACTCATAAAGGAAAGACGATGCCTTGTCTCAGTTAAACTGCGAGCTACGTAATAATTTTAGTTCCCTGGGGCTGTCATAACAAAGCACCACAGACCGAGTGGCTTAAACAACAGCAATGTATGGTCTCCAAGCTCTGGTTAAAAGTCAGAGATGGAGGCTGGGATGGGCTGGCTTCCCCTGAAGCTATAGGAGGCTCTGCTCCAGGCCTTTCCCCAGCTCTGGGTCTGCTGTGATCTCCACTGTTCCCTGGCCTGTAGATGCACTGCCCCAACCTCTCTGTCTTTGTCTTCACGTGGCTCTGCCTGTGTGCACATATCTCCAAATGTCCCCTTTCTATAAGGACAGCAGCCACGTTGGATTAGGTGCCCACCCTACCCCAGTGTGACCTCGTATAAACTAAGTTCATCTCCAACCACCCTATTTCCAAATCAAGTCAGTTACGAGGTTCTGCGGGTTCGGACTTCAAGTTCTGTTGGGGGGA